CCGGAANACATGTCTGGTGTCAAAGGTCAAAGTATCAAATGATAGATAAGGTCAATGACCTTTGACCCTATAAAGGTCAAGGTCATCAAAGGTCAAGGTCACGAGATACAAGCCTTCACAAATTGAAAAAATTCGACCGGAAGTTGCAAGAAAGCAAAAGTCAAATTCAAAAATCCATTTCCAACATTTTTGTCGCCATCGACTAAAGTATACACCAACATAAAAATTTGACCAATCCCATTCTCCCCCGAAGCCCCATTTTGAGTTTTATGAAAATGTATCAAATCAAGATGGCGGCCGAAGTATTTTTTTCGGACTAAATTTTATTTTAAAATCGGCCATAGAATTAAGATTAATAACGATATACATAATTTCGTTGAAATATTTCAATCACACCGGAAGTTATTCAACCGGAAGTGAAAATCGATTTTCCACTTTAACCGGAAGTGACGCAAAAATTTTGAATACGTCAAATGGTTTACATTAGTGACATGCATCTTTTATCAAAATTTCAGATTAATCCGAAAAAAACTGAAAAATGGTCCAAAAATTTCGAAAATCGGCCAAAAAATGTCTGCGACAAATTTTCGAATTTTGAAATTTTGAAACTGCTATTCTTTCAGATTTTAACAGTAGATTCCAAAAATGCAAACCCAAAGAAAATCGACCGAAAAATACGACTTCTAGAGCCGATTATCTATTCTTGCACATATTGAACTGTGGCACTTCCGGTTTTGCAAAAAAGATCCAAAATATACTTAAGCACTTCGTCGCCTAAATCTAAGGTTCGTGAATGTTGAATGGTTGCTGCAACTATTGTAGTCTAAGCTCAGGAAGGTGTGTAAATTTCGAAAAAAAAAAAAAAAAAAAAAAAAAAAAAAAAGAATTGACATTTCGATAACAAACTGGGACTTTGCTGAAAGCAAAGTCCCACAAAAAAGAATTGTCATTTCGATAACAAACTGAGACTTTGCTGAAAGCAAAGTCCCACAATAACATACTGGTATAAATTAATAAACTCGAACAAACTATCGACTAAATTATACAATCTAATGTATCAACTTCACATAACAGGAAACAAAGAATTTAAATATTTGAACTTCATTAAAGGGATACTAGAAAACACTGGAATGTCATATGTTTGGTTGAATCAAAACATAATTACAAATACTGTTAATTTGAATTATCTTAAATCTACACTAAAACAGAATCTATGTGATCAATATATTCAACAATGGAACTGTGATGTTTCAAACTCGTCTCGAGGAACATTTTACGCTATATTTAAAACTGAATTTAATATTGAAAAATATCTAATTAAATTGAAACCATTTCACCGAAATATTTTTTGTAAATTTAGAACATCAAATTTAAGATTAAAAAATTGAAACAGGTCGATGGGTTAAAATTCCCAGAATCGAACGAATATGCCCGTTGTGCAAAAATGAGATCGGAGATGAATTCCATTATCTTTTCAAATGTCCGAACGAAAACATCGTAACCCTAAGGATAAAATATACACCTAAATACTACTATACTAATCCATCTCTATTAAAAATGAAGGGATTGATAAGTTTATTCAACTGCAAAGTTTTGATTAACCTGTGCAATTTTTTGTCTAAATTAGAAAAAGAACTAGTCGGTTACAAACCAAATTAATTATAATTTTATACAATTTTATTATATATATTTTATACTATTGCACTTTATTTATTATATTGTATGTATATATACTTGAACTTGTTTTGATCTATCAGCTCACCAAGCAGATCTTTTCAAAAGAGGAGTCAACATAAATAATCATATTGAAAAAACACAAGGAGATGTAACAGGTTATTGTTTATTATTGGAAGAAGCAAAACATTTAATTAAAATAGCAGATAGAAGAATGATAAGAATTGAGTAAAAAATACACCCTTAAAAATGAAACCAGAAACTTTAGTTATGAAAATAATAGAAGCTATTGAAACAGCTTCCCCAACTGTAATAACTTTTAATGGTAAAAAAATCAGCATAACTAAAAAACTTATTGATAAATACAAATATTGTAAAGTCAGAGACGATATAGATTTAGAAAGAATTGACGCGAACGCAAAAGAAGGTGGATTTTTACCTTTCCTTCTACCATTAATATTTGGTGTTATTGCAGCGGCGGGTGCAGCAACTGGAGGAATATCTGCCGCAGTCAAAGCTGCCAACGCAAAGAAAGCAGCTGGTGCTAAAGCCGCTGAAGAACGTAGACATAATTTAATAATGGAAAAGGAAGCCAAAGGTTCAGGAGAGGGAGATATGATAGGTACAATAAAAGAATTTGGAAAAAGATTTGGGGAAGAAACCAAGAAAACTGTTAAACAAGGATTAAATAAATTAGTAGATAGTATTGACACAGGAGAAGTCAAAGTCAAACATAACGTAATGGAATATTTTTGAAAAATATACACACTGGAGAAGGAATATTTCTTTCAAAGTATAAAGGAGGAGTGATTTTTGGAATAAAATAAAATAATAAAAAATGGGTAAAAAATTAAATCATTCAGAAATATTTCCTAATAACCCAATGCGGTAGTTCCGGGAAAACTCATCACACTTTAAACATGTTGACAACACCAAACCTTTCATATTTCGATTCTTTGAATATCTACACAACAACACCAGAGCAATCGTATTATCAATTCCTCAAAGCTTTAGAATATCTACCAAAGAAAGATGTTCAAGACCTATTTCAATATTACGAAGAAAACGAAGAAGAAGTGGAAATAAAAGATATCATAGATAACTACATCGAAGGAAAGAATCCAACGGATATAAAAGTTTTTCTTACGAAAAATGTTAATGATCTAGACTTGTCTAATATTGATAGCAAACGAAAGAACGACTGCGTAGCGCAAAGAAATCAAGCTGTTTAACAAGAATTCTTCACGAAAGGAAGACATCTCAACCGTCACTGCATATACCAATCCCAATCTTTTTACGGGATGCATTCTATGTTCATCAGAAAAAATGCAAATTGTTTTTTATTATTTGAATTAAACGATAAAGATTTATCTCAAATCATTCAGTCGATACATCACGGAATGGACAGAGATACATTCAAAAAAGTTTGTAAAGCTCAATGGAGAAACCCAGATGATCAAGGATATGTATTTGTAAATACTAGAAAACCTGCGGGTGAAAGAGATATGATCGTCATATGTTAATTTTATTTTTTTTTAAAATGAGTAGCGATTGGAATAATATTTTAAAAAGAAATAAAGAATATATCAAAGCTAAGAATAAAATAAAGACCCAAGTTGAAAGTAACAGATTACAACAACTCGGATTAAAGGAAAATCTACAAACTCTATTTCAACCCATATTAAAATCTCAAGAGGATATTCATCCCTCCTATAGAACCTACACCTCCTATAGAACCTCATCACCCAGAACCGAATCCATATGGTGGTATTATAATTAGGACATTAGATGATATTAATAGTCTTTTTTCAAACCCTAAAGCAGATTTACCAAAGAGTATTACACCAATCATTGATGATGAGGGGTTATTGTTTAATGGATTTAGAATTAAATTTAAGTCAAATTCCCCTATATTCAAAATCGATACAAAAACGTTATATTTACATTAACAAAAGGGTTAATAGATTTAATGAATGGCGGGTATATTGGTATTGCCGATTACAAGGATTTACTAGCATACATGCAATAAGAAAGTCGGGACCGATACAAGAAGATCGAATGCAGTTGAAACATATTTAAATAAAGTTATTCCTGATGAATATGAAGATGATGAAGATATCAGATGAATATGCTGAAGATTATACACCAGTCATAAAAGAAATAGACGATTTCGATGATATGGTGGCATCTGGACAAGGTATAACGTTTTTATCCGACATCAACGAGGAACTACTTAATAGATTACGAGTAATATTAGCGGCAATGAAGGAAGGACATCGATCGCACAGACAATATAATGAAGTGAATTGTATATTAAAAAGACTCCTAGAAAAAGGTATCATAGATAAAAATGATTATAAAAACGTGATTAAAAATGTCAAATAAATGACTATTCGCCATCACCTCAAATAAATCAGACATTAAATTGTCTCTAGATTATGAGTACGAACTCGATCGCAATCAAGAATATGAATTGGGATTAAAGTATTTCTCTGTTTACAATTCCATTAGAAATATCAAGGAAAAAAAATAACCAAATAAAAATATCAACAGATAATGGAGTTACGTTCAAAACCATACGTTTACTACCAGGAAGCTACGAATACATAGCCATTAACGAATACCTATCTGAATATGGAGGAAGTGTAAATGGTAAAAACAATATTGAATTCGAAGGTAATTTGAATCTGAACAAAATAAAATTGATATTAAGAAATAATAGACAAGTTGATTTCAACGTAGAAAATTCATTAAATGCTTTACTAGGATTTGATAAACAAATATACACGCAATCCACTTTAGCACCACACAAAGCTAATATCGAGAATGATACCGATGTGATTAATATACATTGCAATTTGATAGACGGTGGATTTTTCAATAAATACAAACGTCAGATTATCTACAGTCTTCCAACATTCACTGAACCGATAGGATATAGAATTATAGAGAAACCATTTCAAACTACGTATTTACCACTTAATTCCTTTATGATTAAAGATATAAATCTGGAAATCAAAGATGGTAAAATAGGTTTATAGATTTTGGTAACGAGGAAATTGTTATTCATTCATTCTTCATTCTCTTCTTGAGTTAGATAATCGAAATTATCAAATTCGTAGTTTTCACCCATGTTCAATTCTTTTCCGTCGTTGTAAGGATACATGATTCCTTCATTGTCCGGTGCTTTTCTCTTAACGAGATTTAGATAACTTCTAAAAACTTTCTTTTGTTTATCATCACCCTTTGGAATAATTACTCCATTGGTGAAACTTTTTACCCATGGTTTCTTAAATTCATTCGTTACATCGTGTCCATTAGCTAATCGAATATAATCTTCTACGGTTATCTTATCTTTAGAGTAACCCTTAAACGTTTTCTTTTCTTTTAGAATACCGTCGGAAGTCAGAATGATATTGTATTTAACTTTTGGCGCTAAATATAAACCAAATATAATTCCGTAATCATTCTTTCCTTTACAATAATCATTTTCAGACACCAACCCACCTTCATTTAATTTATCCCAATTGCTAGACGAAATGTATAAACTATCGGTATCCGTATAGTATATTTCAGGCTTATAAAATCCATCTATCACGTGAATAAAATTATTCATTATTTTTTTACTGTGAGATAAAACGAATGATCCCAAATGACTAGGTGATAGTCGTGTAGATTTAGGTGTACAGTCAAATTCTTTTTCTTCTTCATTTATCTCAACTATATATTGACTATCATTTACTTTTTCATAGTTTATAAGATGTGAATCGAAGTTGGCTTTTAAAGTCGCTTCACTCCATAGATGTCTCGATGTAGTTATATCCTTCTGATTAGATTTACCATACAATGAATTGCCTAATAATTTCATGCAATTACTACCTACGATATTACCTTCTCGTTTATATTTATTTCTTAGATCTCTCAAAATTAAAATATAATCTCTATAGGGTGGAGTTTTAAAATTTTCTTCGTAAACTATACCATCTAATATTTTAATAATTCGTCCATCGGCTTTCACTATTTCTTGAATATCGACCGATG